TACATTTAGAATATGTGTGTGTATGCTGTTGTTGTTGTTGTTGTTATGTGCCATCTAGTTGCCTGCAACCGATAATGACCCTACGTACAGCAGCTCTGAAGCCTACCCTGCCCTGAGCCAGTCTCTTTATTTCTGACACACCAACCCCCATTGCCCCAACTGCTGTATCAATCCATCATCCAGGGTCTTCCTCTCCTCCACTCTTCTAAGCATAATGTCCTTCTCCAAGGATAGGTCTCTCCTGACCATGTGCCCAAAGTATGTGAGACAGAGCTTCAAAATCCTAGCCTCCAAGAAGAAACTTGGCTTCACCCCCTCCAAGACAGATCTATTTGTTTTCTTGGTGGTCCAAAGTACACCCAAGACTCTTCTCCAGAACCACAATTTGAAGGCATCAATTCTTCTTCTCTCATCCTTAGTCATATTCTGGCTCTCTGATGCATAGCAAGCAACTGCAAATAACACGGACTGGATTAGGTGCACCTTAGTCTCTAGACTGACATCTTTGCTTCTCCGTACTCTGGAGAAGTCCATGACAACAGACTTTCCCAATGCAATTCGTCTTTTGATTTCCTGGCTGCTGGTGCCAAGAATGTTGATTGTGGAGTTGAGCAAGCTGTAATTGTCAACATCCTCAATCTCTTCTCCATCTATCATGGTGTTGCCAATTGGCCCAGTGGTGAGAATCTTTGTCTTCTTGATGTTGAATTTCAACCCATATTGAAGACTACAGCCTTGACTTTCTGCAGCAAGTGCTTCGGTCCTCCTCAGTTTCAGATTGTTGTTGTTGTTGTTGTTAATGCCGTCAAGTCGCGACTCATAGCGACCCTATGAAGGAGAGTCCTTGACCCTTGGGTGCCTTTCATAGATAAATACAGATAGAGATAGACAGATAGAGGTAGAGATATATAAATATCTATATAGATATTTGGAATATATAAATATAATATGTATATTATATAAATATATATACACGTGATTTCAGAACATATTCTGAGTCCGAGGTACCTACTCTTTTTAAAAAAGTAATAAGTAATGCAAATACAGGCATCAATTCTATTTTTATTATGTTTAAAATGTTAGGGTCAGTATTTCTGAGAGTAGGAATATATGTATACTTTATACATATACATTTAGAGTGTATATATATACACTCTATATATAGCTATTTGGAAGCAGGAGTGGCATCTACTTCCTAAATAACATGTCTCTGGAAACTATATGAACTTTGATAAATGTCGATAGTTATAGAAAGGCTTCAGACCTTTTGTTCATAGGATCACTATGAGTTGTGCTCGACTCAATGGCAATCAACAACAACATTTTTTATATGTTATATATTTAAGATATTCATTTGTCTATTGCCATGTACAGCTCTCTTGTACTATTTTTTTAATGTTTGTTGTTGTTGTTATGTGCTGTTGAGTTGCCTATGACTCATAGCGACCCTATGTACAATAGCCCTAAACCTTGCCCTATCCTGTGCCAATCTCACTGTCTCCAACACACCTACCACCATTACCCCAGTCGCTGAATCAATCCACCTCATAGAGGGTCTTCCTCTCCTGCACTCCACCCTCCCAAGCATGACGTCCTTCTCCTTGTAACATGTCCAAAGTACATCAGATGAAGCTTCAGAATCTTTGCCTCTGAGGAACAGCCTGATTTAAACCTCTCCAGGGTGAACCTGTTCATTTTCTTACCAGTTCAATACTCTTCTCCAATACCACAGCTCAAAGGCATCAATTTTGCTTCTATCCTTCCTAATCATTGTCCAACTCTCCGATGCATAACAAGTGATTGCAAAGACCATGGTCTGTATCAGACGCTAGAGTGACACCATTGCTCTTCAGTACTTTGGAGAGGTCCCTAACAGCAGGCTTTTCCATCACAATACGTCTTTTAATTTTCTGGCTGCTGGTGCCGAGAGTGTTAATTGGAGCCAACCAAACTAAAGCTGTAACAGTCTCAGTCTCTTCACCATCCATCCTAGTGCTACCAGTTGGCCCAGTGGTAAGAATCTTTGTCTTCTTGATATTGAGCCTCAATCCATATTTATGTTTTGTTATGTTATTTTTGTGAGTTCTTTGATTCAAATGCTCGTACATTATGCTTTATATAATTAATCATCATTGATCTATTAATCACCTGCTATAACCTTGTCTTTTCATATTCCCACTGGATCTTCCCTAATTTGTCACCCCTTCCCTCTGCTCATTAACCTCTGATATCCCATCACTTCCACCCTCCTCACCTTCATCCTCTGTTCTCTCCCCTTCCCTCTTTGGACATTTATATACATTTACCCTTCTGTTTTTACGATAATAGTCTTATGCAGTATTTATCCTTATGTACCTGAATTTGTTTACTTAGCATAATGTTGTCTATCTGCTTCCATGTTATATAGTATTTGTCAAAATATTTTCTCCTGTTGTTGTTGTTGTTGTTATGTGCCGTCGAGTCGCTTGTGACTCGTAGAGACCCTATGTACAACAGCCCTAAACTTTGCTTTGTCTTGTGCCAATCGCACTGTCTCTGACATTCTCATCCCGATAACTCCAGTCACTGAATCAATCCACCTCATAGAGGGCCTTCCCCTCCAGCGCTGTCCTTCCACCCTCCCCACCATGATGTCCTTCTCCAAGGACCGGTCTCTTCTTACCACATGTCCAAAGTATGTTAGACGGAGCCCCAGAGTCCTTGCCTCCGAAGAGACATTCGGTTTAACCCTTTCCAGGATGAATCTGTTTGTTTTCCTAGCAGTCCATGGTACTCCCAATACTCTTCTCCAGCACCACAGCTCAAAGGCATCAATTCTCCTTCTGTCCTCCTTGGTCATTGTCCAACTCTCTGATGCCTAACAAGGGATTGCAAAGACCATGGCCTATATCAGACGCACCTTAGTCTCCAGAGAGACACCATTGCTCTTCAGTACTTTGGAGTGGTCCCTAACAGCAGACTTTCCCATGGCAGTGTACCTTTTAATTTCCTGGCTACTGGTGCTAAGAGTGTTGACAGTGGAGCCAAGCAAACTAAAGCTGTGTACAATCTCAATCTCTTCACCATCCATCCTGATGCTTCCAATTGGCCCAGTGATGAGAATCTTTGTTTTCTTGACATGGAGCCTCAATCCATATTGTAGGCTGCAGTCCTTGACCCTCTGCAGCAGGTGCTTCAGGTCCTCCTCAGTTTCAGCAAGCAGGGTTGTGTCATCTGCATAACGCAGATTGTTGATAGATCGTCCAGCAATCTTGACCCCACATTTCTCCTCATAGAGCCCAGGCTTCCGGATGATATGTTCTGCATACAGGTTGAAAAGGTATGGAGTTAGGATGCATCCCTGGCGTACGCCCTTCCCAGTTTTGAACCATGAAGTGTTACCCTGCTCTGTTCTGACGACTGCCTCCTGGCTTAAGTGTAGGTTTCGCATTAGAACGATCAAGTGTTCTGGGATTCCCATTCTTCTCAGAGTCAGCCACAGTTTGTTATGATCCACACAGTCGAATGCCTTTGCATAATCTATGAAACACAGATAGACATTCTCCTGGTGTTCTCTGCTTTCAGCCGAGATCCATCTGACATCAGCAACAATATCCCTAGTACCACGACCCCTTCTGAACCCAGCCTGGACCTCTGGCAGTTCTCTGCTGATGTGCTGTTCCAGTCGTCCTTGGATAATCTTCAGTAGAATCTTGCTTGCATGTGAAATCAATGAGCTTGTTCTATAGTGTTCACACTCTGTTGGGTCACCTTTTTTTGGGATGGGAACAAATATTGATCTCTTCCAGTCAGTTGGCCAAGTGATTGTTCTCCAGATTTCTTGGCACAACTTTGTGAGCACGTCCAGGGCAGCATCTGTTAGCTGAAATATGTCAATTGGTATACCATCTATTCCTGGGGCCTTATTTTTTTGCCATTTCCTTCAAAACAGCCTGAACTTCTTCCATTGTGCGAATATACCACAATTTCTCAATCCATTAATTTGTTGATGGACATTTGGGCTGTTTCTATGTTCTTGCTATTATGAATCACACTACTATGAATATAGGTGTACAAATCTCCATTTGTAACTCAGTTCCATTTTCCTCGGGTGTATTTCCCGCAGTGGAATAACTAAATTATACGGGATTTTTTGTTCAGCTTTTTGAGGAAATGCTAAACTGCCTTCTAGAATAGTTGCACCATTTTACAATCCTACCAACAGTGTATGAGAGTTCTCACCTCTCCACATCTTCTTTAAAATTTAATACTTGCTGCCCTGCTATACTTTGCCACTGTTACTGGGGTGAGATGTTATCTCATTGTGGTTTTGATTTGCATCTCTCTTATTGCCAGTTATTTTGAATATTTCTTCATGTGTCTGTTGGCCATCTGAATGTCTTCCTCTGTGAAAAGTTTTTCCATGTCTTTTACCCATTTTGTATTTGGATTATCAGTCTTTTTCTTGTGGAGGTTTTGTAATATTCTACAAAATTAATTATGAGTCCCTTATCTAAGATGGCTTTGCCAAATGTTTTTGCAGTAGTCTGTAGGTTTTCTTTCCATCCTATTGGAAAGTGTTTTTAACCTAGATGCTTACTCTTGTTAGTGCATTAATCCTTGGAACAATTCTGAAAGGTAAACGTGTTCCCTAATTCACATATGAGAAATCCAAGCATGAATTAAATCAGTTTTACATAGTGACACATCTGGTGACTGGTAGAGTCCAGGCCCTAAGCATCCTAGGCCTTCCTCTTCAGTGAACTATTAACTATAACCCTGAGGGGAAATTCTGAATTTAATTAACAGCATTTATTTTTAAATAATTAGTCCCTCAAGGGTAGAACTCCTTTAAAAATGCATTTCTTTATTTTCTTTTTTTTAGTGTAGGAAGGATCCCAAAATGCATTTCTGAAGTTAGTCCTTTTTTGTTATCACTTTGTTAAGTGTTTCCTAAGGGCAGGACATGGGAGGGAGAGTGAACTTCTCTTCTTACACCAACTCCCCTTGCCTTTCTGCAGGTGTGGGTAGATGCTGGTACGCAGATCTTTTTCTCCTATGCTATCTGCCTGGGCTGTCTAACTGCTCTGGGGAGTTACAACAATTATAACAACAACTGCTACAGGTAAGCATTTCCTAGCCCAGTTTCCTCCACTCCAACTTCCAAGAGCCCAGCTCATACTAGGTTTGTCACAAACTGCTTGCCTCCCTTTATGAGACAGGAACAGACAGACAAGCTCTACATTGGCTTTCCCAGCCAGGAGACAAAGAAAGGGAAACGGAGGAGCTGGGAAAGAACTGGTAATGGGAATGTTCTCTAGGCTTCGAAGCTATTCCACATTTGTAATCCCACTGAAGCAGCAGTGTACTCTGTGATGTGATGTTGTCAAGAGCTATTCCTCTGCTCAGAAAGCCACTGCCCACCCTGCCCCTGTTCACTTGTCTCTAGAAGCCCTAGGTCTCTAAAATAAACCCCAAATGAAACAAAACTTTCCTGTGAGCCCTGTGCTGCAGAGTAGAGCTGAGCTCCATCAGGTCTTCCTAGCAGTAATTTATGCAGGTGCTGACCGCCAGACCTTTCTTTTGCGGTACTGCTGGGTGTTGCCAGCTGCCAGCCTTTGATATTAGTAGGCAAGTAGATTAAAAATGTAAATATTTTTAAAAACTCAAGCTTCCGAAAGCTAGGAATAAAATACTGATGTCTGAGTGGAAAGAATATAAAAAGAAACCATCACAATAATTAAAGGAATCACAAAGAGAGAAAATGACAAGTCAGCTCACTTGAAACTCTAGAGTTTCTATAATTTCTGGAAACACAGGAAAGTATTAAAAATAGCCCCTTTTCTTGCACTGTGGTTGTGTGCCATCCTGTCAGAATAGATCCAAAGCTAATGGCCCAGCACTGTATGCTTTGGGCTACCAGAGCTCCATTTTCCTTGTATTAATTAATTGTAATTAATGATATAAAACAAAATGTATATGACTTAGAAGAAAAGAATTGCACTGCCAACACAAAGATATGTAGTTCGAATCCACTAGCTGCTCTGCAGGAGACAGATGGACAAGCTCCTCACATGTGATTTATTGCCTCTGAAAACCTACTTGAGGTTTGTCTATGGGTCATTTCCAACGCAACAGTACACAACAACAATATGACTGACTAAATGAAAACCAATTTTGAAAAAAGAAACAAATGTGGCATCCACCAAGAAAAATACAGATAGCCTCTTTCCACAAACATGAACGGCTCTCTTCCCTCTGTACCAGATGGAGGCAGTGTGTGTTGGTTTTACTTAACTCTGAGTATATGCTGGTTTCATATTAATATTAATACAACTTTACACCTTTCTACATTAGTGAGATACTATTAAATCATCTATACAATTAAAGGCATACCACCAGCATACAGGTGTCCATGCCTACCTACCAGTCACATGGTTAGGGATTTGAGCCCACCTAGAGGTACCAGGATATCCACTTCTGAAAGGTCACAGCCACCGCAAAGCCCTACTACACAGTTGTGCTGTGCTGCACGTGGGCTGCTGTGAGTCAGGCTCTGCTCCAAAGAAGCTGGTTGTTCTTTTAACAAAAAATTTTATTCTCAATGGGTCCCATGTCATGTAAAGAATGTAACAGATCAATGAGAAAAACCACAATGCTGTAAACACTGACCCTCTTTTATGGGAGTGAGGGCACTGTGTGAAGGCCATTTCATGCCTTGCTGCAGATAACAGTCATTTGGAATAACCTTTGAGTTATTTCAAATGGGACTATAAACATTGGATTACAAATGGACTATAAAAATGTGTGTCAACAGAACCCATCTTAGAGATAGGACGTTGAGGGGCCTTGTCTTGTGTGCTGTTCCCTGGTGAGTCAATAACAAAGTCTCCAGGGTTCCAAGCCAGGGCCAGGCATCCTCTGGAGGCTGTGGAGTGGCCACTTCATTAGCCCATCTGTTTGTTATGTGTGAAGCTGATGCCACAGGAACTGCAGGCAGGACCACCATAGGTGAGACTCAGCAGACTGTAGTATGGGAACACTAGGTGGTGTAGCTCTGGTGGTGTAACGTGTTATGTGTTGTGCTTCTAGCCAAAGGTTTTCTGAAACCAAATCTACTGGTAGCTGAGAGGAAATTGGACAATGGAGGCTAGCTGTGAGTCAGAACTGACTTGTAGACAGTGAGTTTAAGTGATTGACGTTTTGCGTTTGAGGCAGTGAGGAAGTTTAAGTGGGCAGTGAGCAGAAGAAAAGTTATTGCAGGATGCAAATATACCATTCATTGGAGATTTCTGTTGTCCCCAGAGGTCTTTGTGCATTCAGGCAAAAGGATGCTAAAGGTCAGACAAGGTGACCCATGATTGTGATCCCATGTGTCTTCATGGTTTCACAGGTAGGGCTGGGCCTAGGTTCAAGCTATTTGTGAGCCCAGTGCAAAATGAATGCTGTGGGCAGAAAAAGAGCGAGAAGATGCCTTCCATAAGGAGAACAGAACCAGTAGGTCAGGGACTTAGGGTCTGGACCAAAAGTGTGGTCTGCTTGAGATGGTAGGGAGGGTGTGTGGTGAAGTCCCCCAGGCCCAATTGGAGGAGGGGGCACTGTGGGTTCTTGGTCACTGCAATCTTTCCAGCTAGGCTGTTAGCTCTTGAGGGCAGGTACTGATTTCTGATCACTTCTGCATCCCTGGTGACTGAGAGTGCTGGCTTATATATACAGAAATAAGAAAATCACATTATTGTACAAACAAGGGAATTTAGGCAGATGGAGGCCAAGTCATGTGGTGCCCACATTCATGTTGCTGGTGATTGAAAGTGGCTTTGAACCTAGGCTTTCCTGGCTCCTGTGTCCCTGCCACTAATCATGAGGGTGTCATGAGGTTGCCTGGCTATGATCTTCACAGCAGGGGGCTCGCTAGGTTCTTCCCCACTCAGTCCCCAGTGTGATGCAGGCTGGCCCCTCTGCTTCCTGCTCTCAGTAGAAGAAAGCAAATTCCCTCAGTGACAGGGCCCAATAAGAAATGCAAACTAGGGAGTGGGGATGGGGGCGAACAGGGAGTAAAGTCTGCAACAATGAATGAATGTAAATCCAAGTTCTTTATAAACTTTAAAATCTCAATTTAAAAAAAAGTATTTTTTTCCTTTTTTTAAAAAAGGCTTGTTTTTTTTCCCCTTCCCAAATAGTTCTGCAAGCAATATTCACAGCTCAGGCAGAGTAAATTAGTTTCCTCTCTGCTGACCACATAATAGCTTCTGGAGGTCTTAAAAGCCCAGCTCAGCTCCTGCTGACTTCCCAGTTCCAGTTACATTAGCCTTCTACCTAGACAGCAGGGAGGAGAGGGCTGGAGGCAGGTGAGCCAGGCCAGGACCTGCCACTGGGAGTTCCAGTCTGTGCCTCTGTCCTTCTGTCCATCTGTCTGACAGTATGAGCAGAAGGTGGGGATGGTGTAACCAGGACCCATGTTGGTACCTACCAGCACAACTGTTAGGATTTAGAAGTGTTCACTCCCAGGGAACATCATTTCTGTCCTGCTCTGAGAAAGGGCCAAACCTTCAGTGTTTGTGAGAACTAACCTTAAAATCCTTTGTGCAGGGGCTTCCCCTCAATAAACCCCATGGTTAAATAGTATAGTGGACTGGTAATAATAATAAAACAGGGTCTAACGCATTTTAGGTACCCACCATTCAGTACAGGGGGATTCCTGACTGCAGAGGAAAATGTTCTGTAGGAAAAATGCTCTCCTTTCCAGTTCCACACCGTTTCCACTGTTTCATAAACCAAGGCCATTTCACCTCAGATGTCAGTAAAGGGAGTCAGGGAGCAGACTTATCCCAGCACTGGGAGTGACTCTGGCCTGCACTGAGCTGAAGTTTCCCTCAGATGTCAGGAAAGGGAGTCAGGGAGCAGACTTATCCCAGCACTGGGAGGAACTCTGGCCTTCCCCTTTAAAGAAGAAGTCAGTGAGGCTAGCAGCCACCAGTGACCACATGACACTTCTGGAACAGGACCTATGTGATCCCACTACTGCCCAAGAATGCCCTAACCAGATACAAACTCAGTGATTCACCACAGAAAGCCTTTGCTTTCACTGCTCACTAATCTGCTGGTTTCCCAGAGACCCCAAAGGCTGGGGTGAAGAGGGGCTCAAGGTTAGGGTCAGGATTAAGTCAAGAAACTGGGATTTTTAGTAGAGAAAAGAAAGAGAAATACAGGGCCATCATCTTCAGTCTCCTAAGGTGACAGGGTTGGAAGATAGCATTTAGATTTCTCACAGAAGGCACATTTGAGCCGAGTTAGCACTCTGAGCAGTAAGAGTTGTCCAGCCAGGGAAGAAGCACTGGGATGATGTCTTGCCTCTTTTCCTGAGAGACAGGAGGGCAGAGGCCAGCCCACCTCCTCCTTCAGGCCTAGTCGTGCATTTCATGAGAAACTGGAGGAGAACCATTGTAGAAGAGAACCATCTTTTTTCATGTGGGGTACAGCACAGGTTATATCCTAACTCCCATCTCCACAGCAGTTATGGTATTACTGGTGGCTCAATGATAGAATTCTGGACTTCTACACATGAGTGCTGGGTTTAATTCCCAGCCCATGTATCTCAAGCACAGTCACAGGCCTATCGGTGGATGCTTGTGTGTTGCTAGGATGGCTGAGCACTTTCAGTGAAGCCTTCAGACTGCAATGGATTAGGAAAAAAGGCCTGGTGATGTTTTTACAGAACTCAGCCAGTGAAAAGCTCATGAATCATGAGAGGGTGATCAACAAACCGTTATGGGGCAATGCACTTTTGCATTCTGCTCAAGGCAGGGGTAATTGACCAGCAGTCAACAGCAACAACAAACATGTATCTTAATCTCTACTTCCATGTCTCACAGTGGCTAAGACCTTTGGAGGCTGACTCTGTGGCTCAGTGGTTTGCATTTATAGGGCCTACACTAGGAAATTAGGATGACTATGGAACAGGAAGAATGCAAACGGTCATTACAAAGACAGAAGAGGAAGAAAAGACCAAAATGGATGTCAGAAGAGACTCTGAAGATTGCACTGGAGCATAGAGAAGCCA